TTGCAGTTAGCAACTTTAGAACTTATGGTAAAGACTATATCTCTCAGTCCGGGTCAGGCATGGTCTGATAGAAGTTTGGGCCCCAAATGCCCTTTACTAAATCCATGATGCCAAATTTGATGATTACCACCTGATGCATTAACACTTTTTGATACCAGTTGATTGGTTATGAATTTTTATAGTATCATGTATTTCTGGAATGATTTAAATAAGTGTAAACTATTATATATCATTTTATAATCATGGATTGAAGAACATGGAATTGAGAAAAAATTTAAACATACTATGTGAAGTGTAAAGAAAATCCAAATACAGATGCGAATAGCTTGATTGGTGTGTTGCACATTTTATGAGGAGCAAATCTAATTCCAGATGTAAAGATAATACAGACTGAGGATTGAACACATGGCCCTAATACATAAACACATATTTTTGTATTTTAATAAAATGTTTAGTTTTTAAATTTAAAAATATACATACAATCAGATAGCGATCAACTGAGTCCTGGCCATCAACTGAGTACTGACAAGAATCAATCAACAGAGCATATTTTGCATAATAAGGCTCTGCATTTAGCCATCAACTGAGTACTGTGTGCCAAGGAAAATAATAGTTGTCCTCCAATTAAAGCTTGAATCACCATCAAGGCATCTTAATAGAAGCGCAATTCAATGATCTGAATGGAAGCAGAAGCAATGAGGATGTGCCTGTGGGGAATGTATGGGACGTAATCTGTGGGATGCCCATTTTAATTCTATCTGCAATTTCTGAGCCGAAGTTGAAAGGACCAGTGTGGTGTGGGAATAGGGTGGCCCACGCCTATACAGAAAAAACATGATATTCGGAAAAAGAAAAAAATTTGTGACCAATCAATTAGTACTATAAACATAATAATCAATTAGGTAGTATTTATCAAAAATTATAATTAGATTTTGATTGATCAAAGTACACATACATATTTTATTTCATTTAATATATAATTTTTATGTACTTGAACTTGAGGCTTAATGTTAGTGATAACAATGTATGAAGGATTTTGTAAGTTGCTGAATAATAAGTGAATTTTCTTATAATGAACAATGAATAAAGCCCCCATCGGATGGGTTGTGAGCACCTATAATTTAATTATCTTTGTCCTATTTGGAGCATCCATACCCACCATCGGATGGGCCTTACTCAAACTCTTATGATATTGAAACCATATAATATCGCTAAAAGGTGGTTAAATACTTGAATATCATGATGCATTGATTGTGACAAAGTTCGGTGGGCCAAATGACCCAAATCCTCCTGTATAGGGTTAGGGCTGAAGAACACATTCTCCTGTATAGGGTTGAATTCGACCAATCCGACTCAACTAGACCTGAGTCTGGTTTCCATTCAATGCCAATCGGTTTAGATTTGGTTGTGTGTAAATTGACCATAAACGACCCAATCCAATTATAGCCGTATGTCTGTATGGTAATATTTTAAATATTAATATGGATTGTTTAATTTGCATATCTTTAATTTCGGTTTTGTATATATATTTAAATCTAAAATTTTTAGATTATTTATCTATCTATCTCGACTGTTAGCGGAGGGAGCTCATAAATTATCAGGTTCGAGCTTGATTCGAATTAGAGACTTGAGCTCGGCTACCTTTAATTGCAAGTCTCTCAAGTAGTTGAGGTGTCGATCCAAGGTCTTCCTAAATTGTCGAGGTGCCAAATCGAGGTCTCCCTCAGCTACTGAAATGTCGAACTGAGGTTTCTCTAATAGTTGAGGTGTCGAGCTAAGGTCTCCCTTAGTTGACAAGGTGTCGAGTTGAGGTTTTCCTCAGTGGTCGAGGTGTCATCAAGCTCGAGCTCGATTCGAATTAGAGACTTGAGCTTGAGCTCAGATGTTCAAGCTCGGCTCGACTCGAACTCGACTACCTTTGATTGTAGGTCCTCTAGCAGCCGAGCTGAAGTCTCCTTCCGTTGAAGAGAGAGTAACTTTCTTGTAATTTCTTTAAAAAAAAGGCAAAAGAATACTATTAGATTCCATTTTCCTCACCTGACCAAACCAAACGAAGAAAGTTATCCAAATTGATTTTTCATGTTTGGACTATGATCAGTCGATTTCCGGTGGCCAATTTTCTCAATATCCAATCAGATTGATTTGGTTGACATGTGTACACCCCTACTCCGTTATTGCCCTGCAGTTAAACCCATCTGGATTTGGATCTGCACTCAGTTTGAGAATGAATTCAGCACAAGCTAGAAGTGTGGGGCACTGGGGATTGATGAGGTGGTAGGTTAATCAGGATTCAGAAGTAGCAATCTGGGTAGCTGCTTACTGCACGGAACAGTTCTGATATGGTTCATCACTTCATCTGGTGGTGTCTAAATAAATTAGGCTATGTTTGGTTTGAAGGAAAAGTAGGAAAATCAATTCAAGGTTTGTAAAAGTTTCCTACGTACCTTTTCCTTCAAACCAAACACAATCTTAGTGTTTGAAAAGAAAACCTTTTCGAGCCTATATATCAGTAATTATCCGGACTCAGGCTTATGTGGCCTCTTTTTTGCAGCATAGCAGAGAGGATGATGAGTCAACTCCCGAGCCTGAACCTCTCCAGCTGCTACAGCAACTGCTTGTCCAAACCGCCCCAGTCTTGGCCTTCTTCCCTGGACTTATTTGCCTTTGCACTGGAATTAATTGGAGGTGAGGCATCAACTGTAGTTCAGCTTCTGTCGGTGGATTCGTTAGCCCTGTTGTAGCTAAATGCAGAAGCTTTTTCTCCCACATTCCTTTTTTTATTTTTTATCTCGGTCGCTTTAGTTAGGCGAACCGCTTACGAGGTGGCCCACCGCATTGTGGCTAGGGAAATCCGGAACCTGGTCTTGTTGCCCTGAGATTGTGGTTAGTGCGTTTGCACTCCAAAAGATAAAGAAGAAAAAGAAAAATGATGAACCCCAAATCCACGTCCATTGTCTCCCAAGATATTGCTCGTCAATCATGATGATGAGATTCCAACTGTTACATCAAGCGTCCATTGATTTTTACAACACCACCACCACCTAAAAAATAATAAAATGCCTATATATGTTGCACCTAGGAATAGGCGGTGGATAGGAGCCGAGCCAAATGTTAGAACATTCTAGCTTAGTTTAGCAGAATTCAAAATTCTGCATCGAGTGTATTCGTATTTCTCCGAAAAAATATAAGGTTTGAATTAAGGTTTAAGCTTGATTCAAGCTAAAAATACTAGTTCAAATTTGGCTAAATCCGGTTTGAGCTCAACCATGAGCCAAGCCTATTCAATTCGCAAGCTTAATTTTTTATTATACATATAAAAAGTGTATATATCTAATTAAAAATAAATAAAACATGTTTATATAATATGTATAATTAGGTTTGCAAGCTTCATACAATTTGAGCTCAAATCAATTTGGACTATATAGCCCAACTGGAATGGTTCATGAATAACTTGATTCATATCCACCCCTAATTGCACCATGTAAAATTTCTAAAATATATAGCAACATATATAATAGGGACCTGAAATCGAAATGTGGGCTCACATTTAAACCCATAGTAGTGTGCATGCCCACATTCAAACCTATAGCAGTGGTGCATGGAACAACTGTCAAAGTGAGTCATCATCTTCATCCGATCGAGCCTTATCCTCCAATTATATGGGGTTGATTACATAAATCTTGCTTTGTCATCTTGTTCTGTTTAATTTCATTTCTAATCATATCCTTTTTAATTTTTTCACTCATCTAATCTCGTCATATGCACATATTTTTATCAGTCGTTTTTTTGAATGTATTATTTCTTATTTGTCCAACACTTGGTATTATAGTTGTTTTATAGAATATTCTTTTTAATCTAAGTTGTACTTGCCTAGCTATCACATAAAACTCTGGATGCACCACCCTTCCCATCCAAATTTGTTCAAATCAGCAGTTAACCATAATCAGATTTGAAAATATGGTCTGTTTATTGGTCGGATTGAATTTGGATATTATTTGATCCAGTCCATTAGCATTTCATCCGATTATAACCCTAGATGAGTATCACACAAATATTGATTTGATTGTATATTAACACATATGCTTTCTAAAATATTAAAAACGCCCTGATTTGGGCCAAATTTTACAAAATTTTGTTATCTTACAAGTCTTAAAGCCCCCACCAAAGGGTGTTCTTAAAATTAATACTGGGCTCGTTTGGGGAGATTCTGCGTGATTGCAGGGGCTCTTTTCTTGCTGGTGTTTCGGGTCCATGTAAGGTGGGTTTCCCTATTGAAACAGGCAGAATTATCTTTTCACTGCTGATTACATGAATTTTCAGTAGATCTATCACAATTCATGATACACTCACCTAAATCATTTCTTTCTTTTTTTTCACTATTGAACTAAAAAAACCAATAAAAATATTAAAGATGCAAATATAAATAAAAAAATATGGTCAGGATGTAGTCATAAATAATCACTTTAGGTCTCTTGTAAAGATCAAGAGAATTTGAGAGAATTTATGCGACTTTAAGAGGATAGGAGAAAGGTCAGGTTGGGCCTTACCCCAGCCCAACTCAACTTTGGGTTGAATTGAGTTGGGTTAGGGCTCGGGGGGAATCAAGCTAGGGTTGACCTCAACCTAAACTAACCTGGCCCAACTTGCAACCCTATCTGGGACTCGGATTGGCTAGTCGATTTCTTCTGAAAACTGTGATTGATAACAAAGTGTTTAAAACTTGGTCCGGATGTTCAATCGTTTTTCCTCTCTGGGTCAACAGGTCAGTGGTTCAACCATCTGGTCAATGGGTCAACAGTTCAATGGTCCGACTGGCGTTGAAAAACACTGCTAAGCGAATCCAATCTTGACCATTAGTAATGGCGTCAATTGGGGAGGTTTAGTCTGAATTAGAGAGTAGATCCAGTCCCAAAACCAGTTCCAAACCAAACCGACACGTCCAAAATCAACCCAATTATTAATTGATAATATTGGGTCGACCGGATAAAACCCGATTATAATTACAGCATGACAACATTACAATTATATCATGTGAAAAATAGGTTTCAAAAACAACCCGAGCAATTATCAGCTGCAAAATAGTGCTAAATCAGCTGCAATATGTCTGAATTAATATACACCGGGACCGGGAGGGAGGCTGGTAAAGCTAACAGACTAAGCGAATCCCCAACTCAGATATTGTCGTCCGAAGTCATCTCAAGGTGTCTTTTCCTGGACGCATTTGTTGATCCATCATTGTTTTCACTACAACTTAAGGACCTTATCGATTGCCTTCTCTTGGACCTCTTCTTTATTATTTCCTCTTCTTTTTCATCAATAAATGACAGAAACGTTTGGATGCGTCCATATCGCGAGCTACCTCCTCTAGAAGAACACTCAGGCTCTTCAGAGGAATGTTGGCTGAACTGGCGTACCGTCGATATAAAATATACAAGGAGGGAAACAATGCAAGCTAGTCCGCATATGAGAAAGAGGCCCCGGAAGCTCTCGAGATGAAGTTGGTCTGATCCAATGCCATCTCCTTGTGAATTGCAAGCGCTTCTCCTCAACCACTTTTCACGGATCCTTCGAAGTTCGCCATTCTCTGACAGTGCCAGAATGGCAGTTGACATGTCAACGGCTAAGGGGGAGTCCCTTTGGAAAGCCTATTATGGAAGAAGAATAACAGAGCTTTAAGACAGAAGAACTAATAGGGAAGCCTAGTATACCACCATTCATTTATCATTTATGCAAACAAATCTATTTTGCTTATTTAAAAGTTTGAGCTGACATTGGAGATAAAAATAGGGCATTAGACAACAGAGTTTTTAACATTTAAGACCCCTGTGGCCCTGGACTTACCCCTTGAGCTGACTACTTTTTATTCAAAATCCATCTCACTCCTCAATTTTGTACTATTGTTAATTAACTCTTAACTCCCTCATATTGTTCTAACTTATATATGTATGCCTGCCTGCCTTTAAGAAGATAAATCATAACATTGTCCTGAAAGCATATATAGGGGTCTGATGCAATGATGCTTGCTAAAGAATTACTTACAAATCCCCAACCATTTCTGGTAAACTCTTGGCCTACAATAGTGAATTTGCATCGGCTAGAAAGAAAGAGTTCAACATATGCACGCTCATCAACCACAGCAGCAACACCCCCATTCTTGGGACCTGCTTGGAGTGCTCTAGCATATTCTTCTGGTGAATCAAGAGGAACAAGTCGAGAYTTGGGGATGYTAAGCTCCTCRTTCAGATAGTTCCCAGTATAAGCACCCTGTTGGACTCCAATGGGTTGGTTGATTTCTATCAAACTTTCAATTCCTTTTATAGGTGATGATACTTGTTGCACAGTGAGAATAGATGTCAGATTGGCAGTGTAGCTTGAATTGATAATCAGAACAACAAATAACCAAATGAGTAGCACAAAACGTCCAAGGGCACTGACGGTATTCTCTCCTGCAGAAAAATGAATTAGGTACTGGAGTATTGAGGATAGTGCAGAAAACAAGTTAACAAAACATCATCGTCGGACTTACTATGTGAGAAGAACAAAGTTGAGAAACTAAACCTGCACGGTGAGAGCAGACAGATAAATTAAACACTGAGATCTTGAGACTTCAAAGACGAAATTCCTACATTAGGCATTGGAAATTGGACTAGTATCCAGCATTTCTCTTATTTTTCCGAAAGAAAACTTCTCTACTAAAAGGAGGCTTAACTTGTTGCCATATAAGGCATTTTTCCCCTTCATGGGGCAATACAACAAGAGTAGCCCATCCGTCATACCCATAACCCCCAACCCTGGTGACAATGGGATTTGATCCCAAGTCTCTGCTACAGCCCGCCAGAGAAATTACCAACTGATCCAACATAAGGCGATGTCGTCATATAAGTAGATATCATATCCCAATGGAAGCTTCTCAGTTCCTCATCTCCTGAATCTTCTACCCTTGCGAATTCAGATAAGCTAACAAGTTCCTTCAAAGTACAAAATGTTGAACAAAACCCATTTTAATGATTAACCTTTAGATGTTACTTACATAAGAAATGCTGTGATAGAGGATGAAAAAGTACATGGGTGTAATTTGATATGGGAAAACAAGAGAGAAAATTGCATGATCCTTATAGCTTATTTTTAAGTTTCCACGCTTGAAGATGAAGTTTGTAAAGATTCTTGGGTGCTTACCATAAAATGGTGGCAACTTGTTTCTTAGGAGGGCCCCGGAAGTCATCATTGATCCTATGCTCCAAAATCCACACAACCGCTCCCACAAGAAGGAAAAGAATACCTGTGGTGCACCACATCATTGGAGTAAATGGCCGCAGAAATGCCCAAGCACTTGAGCTTAGTTTCTTGGCAGGGGCCACAACCACTAGCCCAGACTCAACATATGGCTGTGTGAAATCTACAACCCTTGTCCGGTTTGTGACGATTGCAATGTCACCTATGGCAGCATCAAAAAACTATAAAGAGCAAGTCAGAAAACCAGCAAAAATAATAGCAATAAAAACATTAGTCTACATAAAATATAATGCATTGCATACTCACACCAGTTGTGATCAAATTCACAAGCTCATTGTAGTTGGGGTTCTTCTGACCATCTCCGTAAGGGATTAATTTATATGGAACAGCATACGGTAACAAGTTTAGAGCAGCATTAAATACATCGATGCAATATCCAATCATCTTATCCGAGCCTCTTACTTGTGACACAAATTCAGGGTAGCTGGCTCGGTTAGGAACTCCAATTCTTAATTGCCTTCCATTGTTTGGGAAAACCCATCCACGAGGTTTTGTCTTTGTTCGTCCAGGCCAGGTAACATCATAAAGATGCTGATTTGAAGTCGATCGATTAGCTGGCTTTGTGTAAAGAATTTCCGGAGGCACAACTGATAAGCCAGAATAGTTAGACCAGTAACCAATCCTCTGGACGCCTGTGCCTATAACGTTAATGACATCAAATGCAGGATGAATAAGCGATCTATCTGAATCAAACTGGATTGGACCAGTTAGACCTGTTARGTTGCTCTGCAAAATTTTTTTCAGCAACAAATTCCCTTCATTAAAGATCCTCATTGCGTTAAGATGCATTCTCCCTCCTTTGGTATCATTTAACCTTGAATCCTTAGAAAATGAAATACTTCCCCCCTGATCTAACAATGCATTAATTGCATGAGCAAGTAGCCATACAGTATCATAAGCATAGAGGCCATAAGTATTCAATCCAAGATGCCCACCTAGCCTCTTTTTGCCAGAAWGGTTGTTCCACCTAGAGACAAAGTTTCTTTTTGGTCCAGATTCTGGTATATGCATACGCAGTGCAAGAACTCCTTGGACCAAGTTCAAGGAGACGGAAGGCAGGGGTAAGTACGTATCTAAGACAGTAGATAACCAGTTTGTAGCTATCCAAACATATCCTGAGCCCATCATTCCAAGCTGGTGGGCCACGTCGAATACCTG